CTGGCTGCTTTGCTGAGCGAGAGCGAGAGCGAGAGCGAGAGCGAGCGGGATTATTTACCAACCAAACTCCATCCAACGCACTCTCATGTCCCAGACAGCAACACCGCCCCGCTAGATAGAAAACCCCGCCGAAACTGGCGCAGCAGAGGAGGATGAGCAGAGAGCCGCATATAACCTGCGCGCCACGGGCCGACATGAGGTCAATACTACTCGTACAATGGCCGCCATTTGTGGCGAAACCTTTGCTTGACTGGGAGCGCACGCATCTATCGTACATTACCTACCTGCTTTAGTTATCCAAGGCGCTTCTGCACTCTACATAATTCTAGAAGCATGTGCGCGTTCGGGACGAGTTTCGCAATAAACGTGTCGAAATGTCCGTCCTAAGCTCAAGTCAACTCTACTTCACTGTCTGCCTCCATCTGGCCAATATGCGGTAGTACGGTGGTTATTGTTGGATATCAGGGTAAAGGAATTTAGTAGCATGGCACGGCCAGTGAAATTTGAGTATGTACTGGCGGTTCGTTCTGGGGGATGGGGAGGTGAGTGTTTTGACGATTCTGTAATGAATTTTATGCCAACTGTGTGGCCAACTTGAATGTGGCATTTAATCGATTTTGTGAAGGGATGAACACTACGGGTATCATATCGTCTATCTTAGATATCCGCCTTGTTTTTCTTTAGAACCCAAGAAGCTCATCAGGCCAGCTGGTCTAAAGCAGAATACAGGTCTTTTACTGAACTTCCCGTGTTCTTCTCAACTCTTCGTGCTCTCGCGGTTTGCTATATGTTGTCTGTTTTCACATTTATCTCTTCATGTTCGTCTCTCTGGTCATTGCTTTCATACCCGCCCAGCCTCGCACCGTGAAGACTGTCAATGAGGTTCTACTCACTTTACAGCTCCTACTTTACCTCCATCAGCGGGAATCATGTCACACACTTTTGCCAGGGTAGACCACAGCATCGCCGGCAAGACCTTTTCAATGCACAGATCTCGACAATAATTTAACGTGGTTGTCGCATGTTATGCGCCCCACAGATAGGAGGAAGGCATATGAATTGTGTATAATGACAAGTAGCATTGCTTCGGGGAGAGCATATTGCATGCCCGGGGCAAAGAGATAGTGAGAGAGACACTAACATTCCGGTAATGTCCTATTGGCTCGCATCCATTCCATTTCCCGCTGTTACTTGCCCGATGAGCCATTCAACTCTTGAATCAATGCCGCCATATCACATAAACCATGTATTTCTGCAATATATCCGTCGTCTCTCGCTCGGAGGCGAACCGCCATCCCAGGTCAATGAGGGCTGCACTTTAAAAGTGACCGCAGCATACTCAGGCAGTCTTCTTCTCATCCTCCAGCGTCGCCGGTATCGCGGATTCCCCCACGGCGACACCGTCGGTATGGATGTAGAGACGCATGACCTTTGGTCCGGGATAGGCGGTTATGGCGTGGACGACCCACCAGAAAGCCGTTATGGCGATGACGCCGGTGAGGATCACGCTGTTGTAGTTCATGGTCTCCACGGTGGTGGGGAAGACATAGGCTATGCGGAGAACAAGGGTTGAGCAAATTTGAATTCCATAGCATTGAAGAAAGGACAGAAACACCAGACTTACGGAAGCAGTAAAATATGTCAAACAGCGTGATGAAGAGAACGGCCAGAATATTGATGGGTGTGCCAAACTTGCCCAGGTGAAACGGCCCTTTCGGGAAGTACTTGCGGCCAGTAAGGACATTGGCGGCGAACGGGATGGCGTACGACACTGTGGTGAGGATGATGAAAGAGCCCGTCAGGTTGACGAAAGCGGTCGGGCTTCCCAGCGGGATGGCACCAAGGCCCGTGGCGACGAGGGCTTTTTTTTGGAGGGTAAGCATTTATTTATTCGCCATGTCATGGGTATACTAATGACCAGAGAGAACACGGAAAGGGGCCAGGGGCAAGTGGCTTACCAACAAACAGAGTAGCCGGAACGGGGCAGCTCAGTTTCTCGTTGACCTTGCTCATTAGAAACGACAGCGGAACGGCATTGTCGCGTGCTAGCGCCCAGTAGATGCGCGAGTTTGTGAGAACAGTGCCGATGACGCAGAGTATAGTCGACCACCAAATGATGAACAAGAGGCCGAACGTCGCCCCGAGGTTCTGGTTTCCATCCGCATCGGCCGTGGCTTGAGCATAGATGTTCGCCAAGGGATACCCGTTGAAGCCGCCGCTGGTAAGGGCGCCGATATCGGTGATGGCATACGAGAGGGCAATGGCGAAAGTGAATGCGTCTAAACCGGTGGCCAAAGTCAGTCACAAACTCCAATTCTTGCTTTCTTCAGACCAAAAGCAGCTGCACCAGCACCAGCACAACAGCGTCGGCAGCAGCAACCTACAAAAGAATCCCAGACCAATCTGGAGGCCAATAGCAATAGGCAAATCCCTCTTGGGGTGAGGCAATTCCTCTGCCATATGGGTGATGGCGTCTGGGGTGCCCACGGTGAAGGCGCCGTTCAGGACACCCAGCAGAAAGGCTACACCGCCTTGCCAGCCCGTCAGGTTGTTCTCGTCAAAGGAGCCCCAGACGAAGTAGTTGGAGGCATGCTGCTTGGGCATGGCGGCAATGACAATGATGGTGACGACGCCGCCGACGATGACGAAGAACATGCCCAGGTTCTGGGTGTGCGGTATGATCCTGTTGGCGAATATGACCAAGGCCACACTGAACCACAGGATCAGGAGGTAGGCCACGTAGACGTGCCAAGCCTCGGGCACGTACGTGTCCTGGTGGTAGACGGTGTACATGCTGACCGAGATGTTGGCGCAGATCTGGACGAGGGCGGCCAGATCAAACATCCAGCCGTAGAAGTTGATCCACCCGGTGAAGAAGCCGAGGATGCGGCCATATCGCGGACCGCCAGCAACAGTAGCCCAGTGGTAGACGCCGCCAGCCGTGGGAACCGAAGATGCCAACTAGAAACACGCCAAAGGTCAGGAGCTCGGTCTGCTTTAGGCTTTGGGGCGTGTCAAGCACAAGAGGTGTTGCGGGTCTGCTCGTGAGGCTGACCAGCTCCACGTTCAGTGTCCTTCAGTTTTTTCATACCTCGGCGAGGCTCAAGCCGATGAAGGAATAGTAGAAGACGGCCACGATGAGCCCAAAGATAAGACCGGGCGGGCCTCCATTGACTGCGTAGGCGTTGACTCGTCAGGGCGTCTGCTCAAAGAAGCGAGAACAAGAGCAAGGGGTGCATACGAATAGAGACGGAGATGGAGGAACCCAAAGCGACCCATGCATTGTCGACGGTCAGAGCGATGCCGGCAAGCCCCAGAAGGCTGTACTGGCGCTTCAGCTGATCTCTGTAGCCCGAGTGGTTGACGACAACTCCATCCTCGACGGCAGCTACTGTCTCGTCTTCCGACCCGCCATCCACCGCGTTTCCTTTGGTGACGGCGGGAGTCTTGGCTTCCTCGCTCATGCTGGAGTGTGGGGTCCAAGTCTTGACGGCTTTCGCGTTAGAGTGAGAACGGGAGTGAGAGTGTGGTGATTAGGCTGCCTACAGTGAATAGACGAGGCGGTTAGTAGGCAGGTATAACTCCCCTTATCGAGGTCCCTCTGACTGATGGAGGAAAGTACCGAGCACTGAAGATCAGGTAGTGAAAATCACAAGAAATACTCACAACGGTCAAACGGATGAAAGTGTGTGCCTGAAACCCGATAGAGGTGGGGGAACAAGCCAGAAGCTGTATCAATAATACATAAACACAGGACAAGCAGACGCGCATGCGCGTGGGCCTTCCTTCTTTCTGGGCGTGAATGGTCTTTTCCCTGTTGGGATTTATTACTCGACTGATATGAATATTCTGGGCCGGTCTTCTCCAGGCGTGTTCGGGGTCTGGTACCCTTTCAGGCGGCTGGTTTGCGCCTTCTAATTAGGTAGTATTTTCGGTTTTGTCTGCCTTTGGCGGTCCTGTCGTGCTTCCAACAGACGACAGACTGATAGCCCTCCAACTCACAGCTCTCAAGCTGACGCGACGTTATCGAAGATTCTGATGCTGGAAGGCTGATTGATAAGAGCTGTGACCTAAACTTTCTTCGTTGGCGGCAGTCTAGGCCAGTGACGGGCCAGGTAAGAAGGGCCATAGCTCCGCTCCAGCCCTCGTCCCGCAGCTCCCGTGTCGGGAGCCCTTGACACATGGGCAGGGGATTCGGCCCCCCGACGTATCAGAAAGCAGTGGTCGACGGCGTCAGGCGGCGCAGACAGCGGGGAGGAGCGCCCGCCTGCTGGGGTATCTCCCCGCTAGGCTCGTTGCGTTCCCGAAGCTTGTCACGACGCGAGACCTTTCTTATCAGCCCAGAGTGTGGGGGGCGGTCAATGATTGCACAAGCAGCACTCGATGATGAGAAGTCCCAGACTCCCAAGGGGGGTGTGACAACGATGCCCGTCTCGTTGGAACTTAGCGATATCCGTAGATTAGCAACCTCACCTACAAGCTGCAGCAGCAACAAAGAAAGCCAGCCAGGAATCAATCGAGGAACACAACAGCTCAAACCTGGTTCCACACTGAGGTGGTGCCAAGAGCGATGCGACTTGGTTGTCGAGGGCCTGGGGGGGAGGGGGGGAGACCCTGTAAAATTGCCCACCCCAAGCCTCAAAAGTATTGGGCGCCCCATTTTCAGCGTAATTGGTGATTGCCGACATCGATCAATTTTAACACGATTTTAGAGAAGAAGCTTCGTTGGTAACTGATAAAAGATAGTTTAATGAGATGGCGTGAGGGTGATCGTCAACTCGGGAAGTCGTGAGTGAGTGTTCCTGTCCATCGCTTTGAAGGGCAAAATACTCCACTTTAAGGTATCCGTAGTACCGGAGCTAAGCTGCAGGGACAGTCCCGAAAACCCCACCGCCACGGCTCCAGACTGTGTCCACAACCACAACAGCCAAACCTAAAATATTAGTCAAAAGACCCCAAAAAAGAAGAGAGGAACCTCGTATGTTCCAAATTATTATTACCGACACGAGCAGGATTTGAACCTGCGCCTCCGAAGAGATAAGATTACCACGAATCCATTGTATTCGAGTCTCACGCTTTAGACCGCTCAGCCATCGTGCCTGAGTTGTTGTTGTTGAGTTAGAGTAACTCTTTCATCACTGAAGAGCTCACAGTCCAGCCTCCTGACTATGTATTCTTTACGCATACACACCGCAAAATCGTGAAACAAAACAAAATGACATTGTGGATTACACCAAAAAAATCTTTTCTTTTTCTTTTTCTTTTTCTTTTTCTTTTTTTCGTGACTCCCACGATACCCACCGGAAAGACGGATCGCCACAACTCATAACGCAGCACACCGCAGCCAGACCTTCAACAATCCACACCTCGCAGTGGAAAAACCGCCCCTGTAGCTTAGAGGTAGAGCATCAGTCTCATATCTTCATACGAGAAGAGAGGGCGATCTGAGTACGCTGGTTCGATTCCAGCTAGGGGCAAACATCTATATTTTTATATTTTTATAATTCTTTTGGTCCTTGGGAAGATTATCTAGACTTGTCTTTTGGAACATCCGAGGCTGGTGAGCCGGGCTGTTTGCATTCGCTCGGGGAGCTTGCAATGTTCAAAATCGTATCGCCCTAGCCAGCTGTGCAAAGACGACGGAATGACGACTCTATTGACTTGCACCTTAACCAGAATGCAGACCAAACTAGATACAAACAGAAATTTCCCCTCTCTTAACCAGTTTAAAACCGGGACACAATTGGGACACAACCGGGATACAACCGGGATACAAGTCAGATACAACTAGGTATATATGTACACGCAAAGGAAGATAGAAGCCAGCTCTTTCCATTCACCAACTCCGCCAGAACCCGGACAAAACACATTAGAAAAAGGAACCAAAGGAGCCTTCTTTCCCCAACGTAGCTAGACAGACATGAACCGGAGTAGAAAGAACATCATACCCAGTCTCGTTGCCTCAAGGACTCAGATAGTTACAATGCGTGATTAAAACGGCCGGCATGACGAAATATTGCTGATATTGTCCTCGCTGTGTGCCGCTCTCTCTATACATCACTAGATTATATCTTCCAAGACAACTAAGGTTAACTACAAGAAAATCTCCACTGGCAACATTCACAGCCCACCATCTGCGAGAGATACTTCCTGCCACACTCGATTTTGGTTATCAAGATGTAGCTGTGTAGAGAAACACGGAAGATGAGCCCCCTTTTTTCGGGGCAGTGTATTGCATATATATAGTGGCGCCATCGCAGTGTCCAGCCCCAAGAGCCGGCCTCGGCTTCAACGCTGCCCGGCCCGTCGTTGCCCTGTGGAAGAGACAAGATAGCTCAAGCTCACCTGTCCCACTCGCCATCGGCAAAGTAACGCGGGGGCAAGTCGACGTCCCAGCTCGGCCGCTCGACGAGGGCAACTTCCAGCGGCGCAGGATCGCTGTGAGCCGTCGCGCCGTTTGCGGTCCCCGAAATTACTGCTCCGTCCTCCTCCTGCTTGCTTTCGATAGGCACTATGCCCAGTATTGGGCGGTACTGGTACGTGTGCCACCATTTGGACTTGCGCCCGTCCTTTGCATCGCCTGCGGCGCCGTCCTCCCCATCCACGCCGCCTTGGTGGTCTCTCATACGCTGCAGCTCGCCGCCGTCCGTCTCGTCGTCCTCGTCCGTCTCGTCATCGTCGTTGTCTTCGAATCCGCTGCTTGCGCCAATGCTCTTCTGGTCATCGGCGTCGACCATTTCCACATCCGCCCATTCTGCGCCGTCGGGCCCGAGAGCCGATTTGACATGTTGTGGGACCAGGGAGTGCTTGCTCATCTTGCCTCCAGCTCCACTGGCCAGGACGTCCCGCTTCCGCTTGGTCCCGTGCTTCTGACCGCTTTTGTGCTCGACCACGTCTTTGTCTCCGTCAAAGTCTTGGGATAGATCCAGCATGAACAGGAACGAGATGCCGTAGATCCAGGCCCTTGTATTCTGCCATATCACGCCCTTGACAAGGTCGCGCGTGACACGAAATTGCTCGGGTAGTTTGTGATAGGTGTTCCGGCGAGACCACTCTGAGAGGGAGCCGCGAAGGGGGTTGAAGACAAAAACTTGCTTCATCGTGGTGATCGCTAGAAGGGCGTAGTCGCCATCCGCTTGACCCGGCACGGCCGAGTCGGGCCCAGAGGCGGTAGAAAATGAGAGCACCACAGGTGCCGAAGTTAATTTGGGGAGCAGAGTTGCCTTGGGATTGCGAATCCACCTCTCGCCGCTGCTGTCAACTTCCATCTCGTCGTCTGACGAGTCGCTCGAGGATTCATCAGATTGTTCGCCGTCAAGCGCCTCTCCACCAGCAATGTGCTTCTTCTCGACAGGGACGCGTAGGACCCAGGTGTCGATGTATCCAGCCAGGTCAGCAATAGCGAGCATCCTGCTATCGGGGGAGAAGGTCATCTGCGCGACGTGCCGGTCGTAGGACCCGAGGCCGCCCAGAAGGAGGTGCTTGGGAATCTGGCGTCCGAGCCGGTGCAGCTTTTGTGGCGCGGAAATTGCGTAGGATGACACACTCGTCGCCACTCTAGCAATCATGACTTTGCTCCCCTCTTCAATCCATGATACCCAGAGACCGTCAGGAGAGATCTCAACCCTGGTGGCGCCACGCGTTGCGACTGTCATGTCCACTTTCTTGATCTGGAGTTTGCCTCCGTCAAATTTGAGCTCAAACGCTTTCAGTTCCGTAGCACTCGAGGCGATTAAAAGAGTGCCGCCCTGGCTGATGGCGGCAGAGGTAATGTCGGACTCCCCCTTGACTAGAATCTGGGCAAGAAGATTTCGGTTCTTGCGCGAGCTGGTGGCATGCGGATCGTCCAACAACTCCTGGGCCGGGCTTGCTAGATGCCAGATTCGAATCTCGTTGCCCCACCAGCTGAGCATGAAACGGGCCTTGGGAGCGCTCCGCAGAGGGATGTTTTGCGGTAGATGCGGCAGCGTTCTGTGGAACTCGTTGCCCGCTCCGCGAAGGGGGAAGACTATAGGGCTTGCGTCGGGCCCTAGGGCACTGTTAGCGGCAGTCACCAACACGTTTGAGAGACGGCGACTTACCTCCAGACACGACGATGCTCATACCCTTGCCCTCAAAAGAAGCCATGGCCTTGACGTCGTGGCCGTGGTACCTTCGGTGGAACACCTTGGACCAGCGTCCGGCCTGGCCCGCCATGGGCTCGTACAGGGCTGTCCGCCGATCCATGCCACCCGAGACAATCTTGGAGCCGTCAGCACTTACGGCGAGGCACAGGACATCCTGACTGTGGCTCTGTATGCGCTGTGCCTGTGTATATGTCCTGCCATCCCAGATGCACACCTGGCCGGTGGAGTCGCCAGACACAATGTCGCCGCCGGGCAAGCACTTGACGGACCACACAATGACGTTCTTGGGGCCGCCAGACAGATCCGAACCCAGCGTCATCTGCCTCAGCAGTGTCCCGTTGCGGATGTCGTAGGCGCATATTGTGCCGTTGGAGCAGCCGACGATGACGACGGCGGGCGACTGGAAGGCGATGCTGACCATCTTGACCTTTTTGGAGGGGGTTCTGATGAGGGACTGCTGGAATTTCAAGTCGCCGTCCTCGATCGAGTAGAGCACCAGATTGCCGTCGACGGTGCCGGCAACCAGCTTCCTGGAGCCGGGGTTGATGACGGGGGTCTTGGTTTTGGAGCCCTTGGTGGTCGTGGAGAGAGGCTGGGCACCGAGACACCAGATGTCGCCGTGCTGGCCGCTGGCATGCTTCTTGGCACAAGCCTTCTCGAGATCCCATTCTGTGATGGCGGTGGTGTAGCCGATGCTGAACAGGCGCGACCTGCCGTGGAGGGTCTTGCCGTCGGCCAGCTCCTCGTCGGGATCCGTGACCCAGACCAGGCCGTCGACGCTGCGGTCTTTTCCGCCGGGGATGACGAGCTCCTGGTGCCAGGCGCCATTGAGGGGGTTCCAGATCTCGATGTCGCCGTTGGCTCTCCCAATGGCAAGGCGGACCTGGATGTGCTTGTGGAGGAATCTCTTGTTGGCGCCGACGGCCGGCAGCGACGCGTGCGTAAAGGCGACGGCGTTGATGGCCGACGCAGGATACCCCACGAACCGGCACCTGTGGATGTCCATTGTGTTGGTGTTATTCGTTCGGGCTCGAGAGAGAGAGGGCGAAAGAGCGGGCGTCGATGGCGGCCAGCTCTTGTGGGGCGGTGTCTCTCTCGTCAATTAATTTCAGACTTTTGGTCTGAAGCTGCGCTGCGATGCGCTGGGCTGGCTGCCTGTCAACTTTTTTTTCTGCTGCCCAGCGGACCCTAACTTTTCGGCAGCCTTCCAGCTCGGGCAGTCGGTGAGAGCATTTAAGGTATGGTCTGTGCTGCAGCGGTGTGAGCCAAGGCTGCAAGAAATACACCCCACCAACCCCACCATGCCGCCGCCCGACGTTGTGTCATGGACCTGCAGGCAGCCCAGGCAAGGCAGCTTGTTCAGTCCCAAGAGCGCAACGCAACCGTTAATTGCGCAGATAGTACTCAGCCCAGCCCGGCTATCCCCGTTGCTAGCAGCGTCCCTTACCTACCTAGCACTCACTGCTCAGTGGAGGAGAAAGTGATAGGAAAGCCGCTCATCCGTTCTTTTTCCTCTTACTCAGTAACCTTCCTTCCTGAACTCGGATCATACCTAAGATAGGGTAACTTCATAGTTATTTTTCGACTTTTTAGGTTCAGGAGCCGACGGGAGCTGTACCGCTGTCGCAGTGCAGCACATATTAGCTCAGACTCGAGTTGCGCCGCATCGGTTGGTTTCGTGCTCACAATCACATCTCGGAACAGAGTCAGCCAGACGACCTACGACAGCAAGACGCCGAGGATTACGGGTCCATACCTCTCTCTATTCTATACGACACTTTGTACCCGGGAGATTCTATTCCAGTCCAATATATATAACAATCTGCATCTCTCCGCAGATCCAGGCAACAGACAACCGTCGCCTGCCTACCTACCAACCTTTGTTATTTCCGCTCTCTGCTCTGCTCTGCTTCATTGTCTTTCGCAAAGCCTGGCTTTGCTTGGCTTGCACTCTCACTTCTGTACCTTACCTTGGTCAAACTCGCCCCGGCGGCCATCTCCGACCATGGACTTCAACAGCGCCTCGCCCTACCCCGAGGGCGTCATCTCGTTTCTTGACACGGATCTGTACAAGTTGACGATGCAATGCGCCGTGCTCAAGTATTACAAAGACGTGCCCGTCACGTACTCGTTTACCAACCGGACGCCGGAGAAAAAGCTCTCGAGGGCCGCTTTCCTGTGGCTGGAGGAGCAGGTCAGGAAGCTCGGCAACATTTCTCTCTCGGCCGAGGAGCACCAGTACCTCACAGAACACTGCCCCTACCTGACGCCCGCCTACCTCGACTATCTCCAAGAGTTCCGCCTCAGGCCGCGAGACCAGGTCGCGCTCAAGTTCCTTCCCATCGGCCAGGACACGGGCGCCGAGACCGATGTCGGCGACGTCGACATCAAGATCAGCGGGACCTGGGCCGAGACCATCCTGTACGAGATCCCCCTGCTCGCCCTGACGTCCGAGGCCTACTTCAAGTTCATGGACCTGGACTGGACCTACGACGGGCAGGAGGACCAGGCCTTTGACAAGGGCATGCGGCTGCTCGAGGCCGGCTGCGTCTTCTCCGAGTTCGGCACCCGCCGCCGCCGCGACTACCACACGCAGGCGCTGGTGTTTAGGGGGCTCACCAAGGCCAGCAAGGAGGCCGAGAAGCGCGGACTCGCGGGGAAGCTGTCCGGGACCAGCAACGTGCACCTGGCCATGCGCTTCGGCATCCCGCCCGTCGGCACGGTCGCGCACGAGTGGTTCATGGGCAACGCCGCCATCGTTGGCGACTACAAGGCCGCGACCGAGGAGGCCCTGGCCCGCTGGGTGGGGTGCTTCGGAGAGGGCGTTCTCGGCATCGCCCTGACGGACACGTTTGGCACGCCCGACTTCCTCAAGTCATTCAGCAAGCCCGTCAGCAGCGTGGCCGTGACAGCCGACGATGGAGGCGCGAGCCCGAAGAGCGCGCGCAAGCACAGCGCCGCCGACTTCTTCATCCAGGCTGCGACGCACCTGCAGTCGGGCGCCAAGGTCAAGAAGACGTACGCCGAGATCTTCACGGGCGTGCGGCAGGACTCGGGAGACCCCAAGACGTTCGTCAAGACGATGCGCAAGTTCTACGACGAGCAGGGCATCGCCGACAAGAAGGTCATTGTCTTCTCCGACTCGCTCAACATTGAGCGCTGCCTCGAGTACAAGGAGGCGGCCGAGGCCGTCGGCTTCCAGCCGACGTTTGGCGTCGGCACCTTCTTCACCAACGACTTTGTCCACACGGCCACGGGCACCAAGTCGACGCCGCTGAACATTGTCATCAAGCTGAGCTCGGCCGGGGGGGAGCCGGCGGTCAAGATCAGGTGAGTTTTGGTATATGCTTCTCTTGTTATCATCAGACAACTAACACGGGCGGCAGCGACAACATTGGCAAGAACACGGGCGACAAGGCCACGGTGGAAAAGGTCAAGCGCGAGCTGGGGTACGTCGAGAAGGAGTGGGAAGACGGCGACGAGACGGCGCGATGGGGCCGCGAGGAGGCAGCCAAGGCGTGACCTGACCAAACCAGCATTTTGGAATCTTGGGGGCGGCAAATAGCGTGCATTTATTTTTCTCTCTCCCTCTACGGTATAATCTGCCCCGTGTTTGGGTAGAGGAGCATTATTATTCGCCTTGTCGATACTTGGCTGCATTTGGTTTGGGGTTGGAGAGGCCTTTTGTGGTTTGCACACGTATTGTATGTGCGGCGTCTGGCACGAATAGATACCAGTCGCGTTATTGACTTTGTGTGGTCTTATTGCCTAGCGGCTCCTTTGTTTCGTTTTGTATAGCTGTCTGTCGGTAGATTTTCACATTCTGTCGGGACGTAGCAACGAGCTACTAATTAAGCACTTTAGCTGTCTGCTTTGTACGGCGTAGGCTCGTGAAATGGTAATCCGAAATCTAAAAAAGAGATATATCCACCAATCTTGGATTGGTCAAGACACAAACAATAAAAAATATCGATTTCTAGTTTTGGTTCGACACGAGCAGGATTCGAACCTGCGCCTCCGAAGAGATAAGATGAAACGATATTTGGAAATATTCGAGTCTCACGCTTTAGACCGCTCAGCCATCGTGCCTTGATTGGATGAGGAATGTGCAGGCTATTGGGCACCATAGCTAGGTGGGGGAGGTACTCCATACTCATCAAACGGTTCCAGGCTATCTATCCATTAGACTGGGAGGCATTTGTGTTTTTTTCCTTCTTCTTGTGATGCGATTTAGATAATTAGAGGTTTGGCGCGGCAACTGTACTGCGTCACAGTACCAGGGCTCGTTTTGACTTTTTTTTCGTTTCGAGTTGTTACGAGTCTGGACTCGGGATCCTACATAACCAACCAACTGAATACTTCACGGGCGAATATCCAGTTGCCGCCAGAGTCTACACGTAAGCCGCCAGGATAGTTTGTTCTCTTTTTAGTCAATTTTAGGAAATAGGTATCAAGCAAGTTGCAACGCCAGCCAGCCAGCCTATACATGCGCACAGAAACTCAGGCATTTCTGCAACAGCAACAGCAAGAAACCGGCAAAGAAAAAGGCATCTATTTCTTCTAACACAAAGTGTACCTGAAGTCATAGATCCTAGCCAGCACAAGCATTCATTAATTCATCATGGTCGTCGTCATTGTCGTCGCCGTCGTCGTCGTTATCGCCTTCCTACTATCACCAACACCAGGCCGAAACGCCGAAAAAAAGAGCAAACAGCCTGGAAAGTAAAACCATTCTCACACAAAGTCGGTCCGTCATTCGGAAAGCTAGCAAGAAGGAAAGAATACGGTCATGAAAAACCAGCAAACAAGAAACGTCAGTGCAATAGAAATGAAACATCCTGGGTGGGCAACGCAAAGTAAAGTAACGCAAAGTAAAACCAAGTAAAGTAGATAATTACGCGACGAGCAAACCCTGAAATAAGAACCAGAGATACAGTACGGAAAACCCGAAAGAAAGTTAAACACACACAAAATAGAGTCATAAGTAAGGTAAGGCAAGTAACCTAGGTCAGAAAAAAAAAAGAAAAAAAAAGTGATAAAAAACGCCATCCCAAGTTCCCTTCTTCCATTCCCAATCCGTCCCATCCAGTTCCAAAACAGGAGGAAATAAGTTGAACAAAGAAATAAAACAACACAAAACAAACAGAGCTCTTGGTATATTTTCCACCATCTTCCAACACAGACAGCACCCAAAACACAAACACAAACACAAAAGATCCATCATTTCTCCGTTTTTTGTTCCGTCTCCAAAAATTACCTCCCCCTCTCAATTCCATGTCATGTCATGTCATTTCATGACAGAATATCTCAGATATACCCCCCAGCGTCCGCCATGCCGACGTCGCTGGCCTGGTCATCGGGGGCGCCGCCGCCCGGGGCACTAGCGTTGCTGCGGGCGAACAGGCTGGCGCCGCCGGCGTCTGAGCTGGGCGTGACCATGCGGACCGACTTCTTGCCGGACTGGGAGGCGGCGGCGCTGGCGGCGGTATTGTGGTGCTTGGCAATGAGCACCTGGGCGGGGCAGACGACGATCTCGTCGTCGCCGCGGCCCGAGTCGTCGCCCTTGCGCACGACGAGCGGGAAGAGGACGATGCGGACGGTGGCGCCCTGGGCCTCGAGGTCCTCGTTGGACACGCGGCTGGCTGCCTCACCGGAGCGCTCGTTCATGAGGTCGGCGTTGAACGAGACCGTCTCGGTCAGCTCGCCGGCGTCGTCGTACTCGGGCTGCAGCGGAGGCAGCATGACGTAGTCGGCGCGCTGGCAGCGCATCTCGATGGCGAGGTCGACGGCCTCGGCGACGACGCGGCGTAGCTGCTTCTGAATCTGCTTCTCGAGGTGGTCGGGCGGGGGCAGGATGGCGCTGAGGGCGTCGAGGACGGCGCCGACGACGGCCTCGGTGTCCTGGTCGCGCTGCTTGGCGAAGGCGGGGCGGCGGGCCAGCAGGGTGAGGGTGACGGCGCGCCACTGGCGGACGGCGTGGGCGGGGCCAACGTCGGCCAGCTGCTTCTCGAGCGTCTTGAGCTTCTGGCGCTGCTCGCGGTCCATGCCGAAGAGGTAGCGGGTGAAGACGAACTCCCAGATCATGGTCATGGTGACGCTCATGAAGATGTCGCGGCGGCGGACGCGGTCCTGCAGGTAGGCGTCGACGTCGGAGCCGTCGAGCACGGCGTTGTCGAGGCGGTCGATGAGCTTCTCGTCGTTGATCTGCGACGTCAAGAGGCAGGGCTCGAGGTCGCTGAACTTGCTGAAGCGCAGGACCCACTGCTGGACGTGGACGCACAGCTGCTGGCAGCGCGAGTCGAAGTAGTCGACGTCGTGCAGGGCCAGGAAATCAAGCTGCTGCTGGTCGTCCGACGACGAGACGGAATGCGACTTTGCCGAGTCGAGGATCTGCTGCTGCAGGTCGCGGATCTGTTGCTTGGTGGCCTCGAGCTGGGCGCGCAGGTCGGCGATCTCGGCGTCGCGGTCGGTGACGGTGCGGGCTGTCTGGGCGTGTTCCGACTCGAGGCGGCGGACCTCTTCGTGGTGCTTGACGGCGATGGCCGAGGTGGAGCTGCGCAGGCCCTCGTTTGTCTGTTTGAGGCGCTCGATGACGTCGTTTGCCTCCTGCAGCATGCGCTTGAGGGCTTGGATCTCGTTGTCGCGCTCGGCGGCCTGGGAGGAATTGCGGCGGGCGAGCGACGACTCGGCCTGGGCGCGGGCTTCGGCCAGAAGGCGGTTTTCGGCGGCGAGCTGCTCGACGCGCGACTCGAGCTCGAGCACCTGCATGCTCTGGCGGCGGCGCATGCTGTGCGGGCGCGTGGGCGACCGCGGCGAGCCAATGCGGCCTTCGCCGAACCCATCCTGATGCGCCAATCAATTGTCAGCCAATTCTGTCTGTCTGTCTGTCGCGATTTAGAAAAAAAAGAAGAAGAAAAACTCACGTAGACGTCGGTCATGTCCTTGGCGCGGACACGGCCTTCGTTGGCGACGGGTGTGGTCGTGCTCGAGGTCGACGAGGTTGCGTTCCAATTTTGCTCGGCTTTGGCATGGTTATTGTTGGAGGAAAGCAGCGCTGCGGCCGCTGCAGTGCCAGCCACGGCGCCCAGACCCAGGGCAACGGCGGTACCGGCTGCTGCCGCTGACGAGTGGCTCGTGCTCGCAGAGCCAGAGTCCGGATTGGGACTGGAACTGGAGGCCTTGGCGGCACTGGCCAGGTCTCGTTGGCTGAGCGACACGGACCGCAAGTCGCCGCTCACCCGCCTGTCGACGCGCCTGAGCGGGGGGGTGCCAGTGTATGAGCGCAAGCTGCCTGGACTGTCAGGCCGCCACGCGTGTGGTTCGGGTGTGCGCAGTCGCGCGAGGCTGGTGTTGGACGCCGATCGCCGTGGTGCGGGGTCTGCGCCAATTGAAATCGCCGCAGACGACCGGACCGTGCTGGGCGATTGCTGCGATTGGCGCTGCTGCTGGTGCTGTTGTGAATGCGATTGCGATTGCGATTGCGATTGCGATTGCGATTGCGATTGACGTGATTGGTGCAAATCGCTGTTGTCCGACACACTGCGCGGTGCGACGCTCCCGCCCGCAAAGGGTGCTGGAGACAGCGCTGGAGCTAGCGCTGTTGATGCCCGGGGGGTGGTGGTTGACGCCACTGAGCGCGCTGTAATTACAGGCCCCGGCGCAAGGTCGTGGCCGCCGTGCCCGTGGCCGCGATCGAGAGAAAGGGGTACCGGAACAGGCTTGGACCGCTGCTTGGCGACGGCGAGACTTTTGTGCTTCTCGGGCTCGGGCGTAGTGTAACCGGGTGGCGAGGGCTCGCGCAGCCGCGGAGTCTCAGGGCCCACGATGCTCAGGGGCGACCGTCTCTGCAGGAGGCGGCCTTCCCTGCCCGTCTCTTTGCTTTGCGGCGTCTGTGTCTGTGTCTGCTGTTGGTATTGTTGATGGCTGCCACTCTGTCTCTGCTCGTTGCCCTCAGGCAGCAGATGTATGCCGCTGTCACGGAGCTCGCCGCCGCCGTGCACGAGAGAGCGTCGCGAGACGTGAGGCGAGTCGGACCCGAAGCCGCTGTCCCTGTGGCCCTCAGGCGTCGCTGTGCTGCGGCGCACCCCGAGCCGGGCCGTGGGGGAGGGCGTGTGCTGCTTGACGGGCTCGTCGTCGGACCCGTCCTCCTCCTCCTGCACGGGGGGCAGCATCGACTGCGGCGACCGCAGTTCCGTCATGCTCGACACGCGCGGGATGCTGCGCAGCGCCTGCTCTAGTGTTTCCTTGTCTAGCCGCTTGTCCGTCATCCTCTTCATGGCGTCTGGCTCGGCCGCTCGCGTGCTGAACGCCTCTTCGTCGGCAATGTCGTCGGGGAACGAAAAGGCGCGCGTTGGCGGCGATGGCGACGATGACGGCCGCTCCTTTGGCTTTGGCCATGTCGACTCGTCCAGCATGCCCGTCTCCCGCATCGACTTGGGGATCGTCTCGGAATCCTGGCGGCCAAGTGTTGTTGCGGGCGTCGGTGCTGGTGCTGCTGTGATCACTGCCGCTGCCGCTGGCTCTGCCACCACCGCAAGCTCGTCTATCCTCTTGTGCCTGCTGACTGGCGTCTCCATCACCACCTCCCTATCCTTTATCCCCACCACTTCTCTGCTGCTCTCTCCAGCAGCCACCTGTTCTTTCTCCATCTCCTTGTCCTCCTCGTCGGGAACATCCCAAAAGTTATCCTGGGCTGCCTCCATCCTGGACCCTTCCTCAAGGGGCCTCCGCTCGGCCCCCTCCCACAGGGCAGCGTCATCAAAAAAGTCGTCCTCTCTGGGCGACCTCTTGTCCACAATCTTCTTCTGCTTGCCCCCCTTCTTCTTCTTTGTCGATGCCGACCCGCCAAACTTCTCGGCCAGCAGCGCCACTCCTCCCGTGAGTGCACCAGCCGCCGCCGCCGCCGCCGCCAGCGTAGCACCGTCCACCGCTTCCTCTTCCTCCGCCTTTCTACCCCTGTCTTTCTTCTGCTTCTCCTTAGGCTCCTCTTTCTGCTTCTTGCTGTTCTTCTTCTCTAGCCGTCTATCTAAGAACGCCGCGGCAGCCTCGCGCGCCGACGACGTCACAGGCGCTTCTTCTGCAACTTGTTG